AATTATAATCTCAATTGCCAAACATATTAGAATATTTATAAACGTGCCTAAATTAGTTGTTCAAATATTGTAATATTAATCCTTACCATTAACTTATTAAAAAATATTACTATTCTTATAATTACCCTAAATATGATTAAATTTATATTTGCAATCTTTCATTTTATATATTGAATCATAAACCGTTAAACAAATATATTTGATTAATAAGTGATATAAAATGACTAAAAAATTATTTTTAAAAAAAGAAATCACAGGTGTAACACATTTCTATACAAAATAATTGTAAAATTTATATATATATAAAATAAATTTTAGATTTCTGTTAGGATAGAATCTAAAACTATTTATGAACAATTAATTAAATCCAAATTTGTATTTTAAAAACTACATTATCACTCTTATAATTAGGCTAAACCTATAAGATTCAATTCATATTTGTGATCTTTTATTTTATATATTTGAGTCATAAACCGTATTTTTAAAGATTAAGATTAAATAAATATATTTTATTAATAATTGATATATATTGATGAAAAAACTAAAAATTTATTTTTTTCAATTATTTCACGAGTGTGATAAATTTATATACAAAATAATTACAAAATTTATATGTATAAACGAATTATGGATTTCGTATAATAATTTTCCTAATAACTATATATTATTTTTTTAACTAAAACTATATTGATTTTACTTACATATCATATTATCTCGCGTATAACGCGGGTAACTATTTAGTGTTCTGTGTTTATGTATACACATTTACCCTCCACAAATTTGAATATACACAAAATATTCATTTTAACTCGCACACAGCGCAGGTATTATCCTAGTTATGTTTAAAAAGAAACTAAATCAAATTGCGTAATATTTTTTGGGATCGCGGTCAAACAAGCACTCGAACCAATCTAAAACGTTGTTCGGTCAAACAATCACTCGGACCAATCTAAAACATTGTTTGCTTAAATACGTAACTAGAGTTGCTTGTGTACTTTTTTTCTTTTTTGGTCAACAGTTGCTTGTGTACAAGAAATAAATTATATCGCAAGAAATTGACATCAATGAATTACGAGTGTTTGTGTACACAAGCATTTTAGGTGACAAAGATAATATATCAATGTTTATAAGTTTAATTAAGGTGTGTAGATAGAGTTCCCTAAAGTCTTCTAAAATGAGATCTAAACCCAAAAACTTAGATGAGGAAATGATTGATAACTATTTCTCAAACAAACTGGTGTTATGATTATGACCAATTGGTAATGAAATAGTGATTTTTATTTTAGTGTAGATTAGAGATCGATTTTTCTCAAACGTAAAATTATCCAATCACTATCATTTAACTAAAACGAAATGATGTCATATTTTAGACCAATTAGAAAACCGGGTGACAGCTACACTCTTCATATTTGTAAATATTCTAATTTTTTTTAAAAAAAAGAGTATTTATTTAAAAAGATTAACATCGTGTTTGCTAAACATATGACGATAGATATGTTTTTTTTTCAAACGGGTTTTAACCGTTTTCTTTCAACTTCGAACTCCCTATTTGAACTATTCACATGTCCGATTGGTAATAAAGAAAAAGCGGTTTGTTTTGAGATTCTAATCACCTCAAAATGTGCTACCAATCAAATACTAAATATACCCAAAATTCCCAGGCCGAAATGCATCTGGTCAAGGCTTACACCTAGTGATATCCCTAGATAAGGATATTGTGGTACCCATGAAACAATATGTGAGAAATAAAAAGACACAAATGTTTGAAAATAGCAAATATCCATTTGTTGTTTTGTCAACATATCCTCTTTTCGATAATTTTCAAAACGAAAATGATAAGACTAATTAAGGGGCATGTAATGTGATGCAGATCCAACTACTTCACCAAAGTCCACTTCAGTGCAATTACGAAGGAGCTTATACAACAAGATTTGTTTGTAGAGCTACAAGTTTGATCTCAATTGTTT